TGGCCTCCACCCTAGTAGCGTCCTTGCTACTAGTTGCGGTGGCCTCCACCCTAGTAGCGTCCTTGCTACTAGTTGCGATGGCCTCCACCCTAGTAGCGTCCTTGCTACCAACCCTCGACCGACGTCGACGGATCCGTTTCAGCGCTGAGGCCACGGCCGGCCAAGAGGGCCCGCTCGCGCTCGCCCTTTGGGCAGTTTCTGGGCAAGAAATGGCAAGAACTCCAGTCTTTTGTTCTTTACTTTGCTCTGTTCTCTTTTTCAAGACTTGTTGTGGAACACTTTATATATGGCTTGCATCACAGGCAGTAAGTGTCAAGAGGAACTCGTTTCACTGATGTTTTGATAGTAAAAGACAGTTTTTTTCAATATCACTGAATAAATACCCAGACCATCCGCTGGCGTGCGATGGAGATCCCCAAATAGCGTAGGGTAGTCCAGCCAGGACACCCAGAGAGGATGGTCCTGGGATGTTATGTTGAATAGTTGGTGTAGTGTGAACTGATATGTTTCAGCTTCCGGGTCGAGAGTCGTTGCATATCGTTTCGCGCCAGGCCCGCGGAGCCTGCGGAGCCTGCGGAGCCTGCGGAGCCTGCGGAGCCTGCGGAGCCGGCTGAGGAGATGCAAGATGCTCAGATCGAGGTGGGTCGTTCTGGATTTGTCAGGTCGTGAGCGGCTTTTAGATCCATTTCTTGGTCCTGCTTTTGCGCCCATACCCCCAGCGGGTGGTTTTTGTGGATGTCGGTGTTCTTTCTGTTTTCTGTTTTTTTCACAGGCCCAGAGCTGGTTTCGTTTTTTTTGGCTTCTTTCTTTCAGAGCCATAGATGTGGTTTTTGCTTGGATTCTCAGCTTCTCAACTCGGGTTCGTCCGTGGTTTTTGTGCCGCGAAGCGTTCAGCCGCGGCCACGGGAGGTTGGCGAGATCGAAGATTCGGGTGAGCCAGTGGCTGTCGCCCGTCAGGAACACCGGAGAAAGGGGCAGAACATGGGCCATTCATAGCCACAAAACCGTGAGGCATAGCCAGGCATGCTTTTTTCTGAGGTCACTGTGAGCCGAATCCAGATCAACATGGAATGTTCTTTGAATCAATCCAATGTTTTCACAGGCTCAAAACCTGTTCGTGAAGGTCTTTTCGGCGGTCTTCGGGTCTGTGCCGCGGTCCAGGTGAAGACGATGAGGCCGGGAGATGGGAAGACCTTCCCGAAGCAAGGTGATCAGCTGGTGATGTCACTGGGACGAGAAAGATTGCTGACCCTCCCTGCAGAGGACCATATGGAACCCCCTGTCAAGCAATGGGTTGGTATCGGAACATGGTCGATGGGGCGCGGATCAATTTTCGGGGTTCATGTGGTCCGTCTGCACGGGTACCATCAAACAACACGACGACGAAAACTCGTTACACATGAGGAGTCAAGTCGAATTGAGTCGAGTCTCTTGATTCGTTTTGGGTGCTTTGATGGCTATTCATTTTTTGAGGTGTTGGATTCATGGTTCGTTCATGGTTTGTTTTAACGTGTGGGGGCGTGGTCCACTTACTCAGGCACTATTCTGGCATACTTGCGTCAAAAGAGAAGCTGAAGGAGAAAGTGCCCTTTGACTCTTCATATTCACGAGGAAAGCCTTTCATGTTCAGGACAGCACTTCGGAACGGCGGCACACCACATCTCTCTGCTCTGCTGTTTTTTTTTGACTTTTTCTTAGTTCTGCTGTTGGTCATTCCAGTTGTCCCTCGTTTTGGCTCTCCGAAACTCCAATGCCTTAGAATGAATTAGCATGTTTGAAACCAATGCTGCGATGCCAGGATTGGAGTCGGGGAGGTGATTCGTGGCTGGGACGAGGGCATCATGCGAATGTCCTTGGGCGAGAAGGCCATGATCAGGGTGAAATCTGACTATGCCTATGGTGTCTCAGCGCAAGGCTAAGCCATTTCAAGCATGAATAACCCTTTGGGTTTTGGATTGTCGAGAAAACCGGGACGTCAGTGGATTCCAGTGACGTCTTATATGCTGTAAGATATTATAAGATTATATAATAGGTGTTTTTTTCTATTCTTTTCACTTTGTCACCTATGATCGTGCAGCTCTTTTCGGGTTCGAATCATCCGAGCTGCACTTGGTTGCTTTGTTGATCGTCTCACCTCGAACGTGTGGAAACACGAGATGAACTGCTCAAGCTGAGATGCTCAGGAATGGCTGGTGCTGGGTGCATCCCACCAAAGTCTGATTTGACGCTTGGCAGTGAACAGACTGAGAGACACAGGTATAGTCTAGTAGCTATTGACAAATAGCACCGTTGACAAGAGTCAAGATCTGGCATCGAGGAACTTTGAGGTGGAACTCCTGAAGATTTGCTGAGGAACTTGACTTCATGGCTTGCTTCATAGACTATAGAGTTCATGGCTTTCTTGTACAGTGAACTGGGAGTGCGTGCAACACGCCTGCTGGTCGCCGAGCAGTTGAACTCACTTCGAGGAAAAATGACACATGTGAAGGCATGTTCTGCCCAAATGTGAGGACAGCTGCCTACATAGATCACATTTTGTGGGACATTCTTGAAAGATTGCAAGTTGCCAGCAAGCAAAGTTGGAGCTTTCTATATGGCTTCGCCGTGTTGCATCCTCGGACTTCTGAGGTGAAGTTGTGTTGCGTCACCTTGAAATCGAAGGAGATCAGGCACGTTTCAGCAAGTTGATGTCTGATCTCCGTGCTGAGGGAGCCCAGGACTTAGATCATCAAGCTGCGATTTCTGAAGAGAAACCAGGGTCTACTCAGCTCTTGTACGGGATTGCCTTCCTTTCCAAGGCGCTGCAATCTTTGAGGTGGCAGTCACAGCACTGCTACTCGCCGACTAGAAGCTGTTCAAGCAACAAGTCATGCCTCATGGCTGTGCCACCTTGCGGAGAAGAAAGGCCGAAATCGTTTGATCATATGAAGCATGGGCGATGAATGATTGCCACCAATCGTGACCTTTGGCTAACTGTTTCTTTGCCCCATAGTGCTGGCAGGCGCTTCCAATTCAGGATCGCATCCGGATTCCGAAGCTTCCCTGATGCAGACGCGTCCGTTTTTTGGATTCCAGGATCGCTCCGTCAGAGTCTGGGATTTGAACACCTTGGCCATGCTGGCGAGCCTGGAACAGGAGACCGGGGTCACCCGGTGGCCGGATGGGCCAAGCTTTTCGGGACCTTTGGGTGGGCACCACTTTTGGGGAAGAGACGTTCCAATTCGCATCTTATATTTTTGGTGTGCAGCAGCAGCAGCAGCAGGAGCAGGAGCAGGAGCAGGAGCAGGAGCGGGAGGAGGAGCAGGAGCAGGAGCAGGAGCAGGAGGAGGAGGAGGAGGAGGATGAGGAGGAGGAGGAGGAGGAGCAGGAGCAGGAGCAGGAGGGAGCAGGAGCAGGAGCAGGAGCAGGAGCAGGAGGAGGAGGAGCAGCAGCAGCAGGAGTAGTAGTAGTAGTAGTAGTAGTAGTTGTAGTTGTAGTGGTAGTTGTAGTTGTAGTTGTTGTAGTTGTTGTAGTTGTAGTAGTAGTAGTAGTAGTAGTAGTTGTTGTAGTAGTAGTAGTTGTTGTTGTTGTTGTTGTTGTTGTTTTTGTTGTTGTTGTTGTTGTTGTAGTTGTAGTTGTAGTTGTAGTTGTAGTTGTTGTTGTTGTTGTTGTTGTTGTTGTTGTTGTTTTTGTTGTTGGTTTTCATGATCTCTGTGCTTTTCAGGCTACAGTAGGCTTTCTTGACGGAACATCAGGAAACCACCCTCTTTCCTTCAGCGGGTCTACTCGTCCTGTGGTGTCCGATGGGACGAATACCGCGCATACCGACGCGGTATGCCGCCGAATCCGGCAGGCGCACCTCAGCGGCATATTCCGGGTTCGGCAGCTCGACTCAGGCCAAGGGGCGCGCGTGGCGCGAGGAAGAAGGAAGTTCGACGGAAGCAATTTCAGCTGTGCCATGCGCCATGCGCCATGGGCCATGCCCTTCAGTGACTGCCCGAATCCGTTCAAATACGCAGGAGATTCCTTCATCACCGCCAGCAGAGACAGGACCATGAAGGCCAGGCTAACCAAACACCATCCATGCCAACGCCGCTGGACCAAGCCCCGACTGCACCAGGTGTGGCTCTCTTCGACATGGCAGGTGCATCGTCCAGCCACCGATGAGTCTTTTGAAGGGGCTCCAACCTAGTAGCGATGGATAGCGATGGCCTCCTGGGTGCATCATCAAAAGGTCAAAGGACTTTGTTGGAATCATGCTGTGTTTTTCGCTGCACTTGGCCATGCAAAAACGCGCCCAAATCGGCAGAGAATGGACTCTCCCGGCGCTCTTCCACCCATTGCGTTCTGCTTTCGAACGCTCGGAACCCTCGGACCCGGCGGACCGTTTCGGCGGCCAGGCGCGCCGCACCTTGGCGCCGCCGCACTACGATGGGGTGCCGGACCAAACGGGGGTCGGCGATCGAGGGTCTTCGCGCGCGGGCGCACCCGAGACCGGGGCGCGGACCTGGAAACGGCTTTCCGGGAAGCCGTTTTCCGGGAACGGAACTTCATCTGCCCTGGCATGAAACAATTTCAGCGAAAGGCTGAGCTGAGATTTGATGCTCCGGCCAAGAACACACGGCCAATGCGAACACGAACGACCGAGCGACCTGAAAAAAGGAAATGGGGCCAAAACCATCCCCCTTAAAGTTTCCCTTACAGAATTGGAGGTCCTGGGATCTCTATAAGGCCAAAACCACTTGACAGGGATCCAAAACCACTTGATGGTTCTTTTTGTGGGCGATGTTGAGAAAACGCAGGTGAGCGATGTGGCAGTGGCCGCCAAGAAAGGCTACTTCTTCTCCGCGAGCCGTGACAGGCCGGTCCAACCGGCGCGATAGACCTATGGCGCCTTGCTGGTCAACAGCACGGTCGCAAGCCAAAAGATTGGAGAAGTCTTTTTCATTCTTTTAGCAGAGCCAAGATGTGTTTATGATTAGCGGCTAGAGGGATTGCTTGGGAGTGAGCTGAAGCTTCTTAGACGTTCTGAAGTTTGTAAGCTTGTCATTGTCAAACTTTACAAACTGACATGTCGTCATGTCACAAGAAAAGGGCGTTGCTTGAAAGGAAGAGGAACAAGATGGAGCAAAGCACACATATGTCTTTTTCTTTTGTTGGTTTTCGCCAGGTCGATTCGCCGGTGGGACTGCAAGACTCTGGAGAGTGATTTGCAGCTTGCACATGCCCAAGGCGAACTGGCATGCGAGTCAAGACTGCCCACGGTCCAAACCCTTGGTGAGACGGTCATTTTTTGCAAGGTTTCTTGAAAGTAATCCTCCAATCCTCTCAATCCCAAGTTGGTGATGACCCTCTCAATACCTCGGCACCTCCACATGCTTGACCTCTCGACCAGGCGACTGGCTGACGGCCTTGGCGCTGGCGCCTTCGGAGGAGGTGCTCTTCAGCGGGGGCAAGGACCGGACCTTCTTTTTTGGGCACAGACTGTCCTGGCCCAGTATGGAAGGTTCAAGAAGGAGGTGGAGGGTTCGAAGAGTCAAAGGAGCTTTGACACTGGGGGATGGGAGATGATTGGATTGTATTGGGATTCGATGGTTTTCTATTTCTATTGGGCTCAATATTTCACATCGGAAGAGGTGAGACCTGACTGGATGAGGCACTCTCGTGCATTGTCCAATCACTGAAACGGCCAGGATTCCATCATCAAGGTTTGGGACTGCGACCTGTGGGGAGACCGAGACGGCTTTAGCAGCAGATGGCCCCCATACAGGACTGCAATACATGGGGTGGATTGGGGTGGTTCAGAAGATACTTGAAACATGACACTCCAATGTCTAGAATATATACCTTGCGGTGGTTTTGGTGAATGCAACATATGCCATCCTGCCATACATGGTACTATGGTAGTACATGGAGGGTTTGCAAGGAGGCTCTACCGTGTCGCAAGCGTCCTTGGGATCTCGAACCCTGTCCGGCTGTGCCGGAGCGTCGACGGACCGCCACGCGTCGGCTTTCGGCTTTCGACCAATCCCTGGAGTCAGATCGCGAAATCGCTGAAGCGTTCAGCGTTCTGCTGCATTTCTGGCTTTGCAACGAGGCATTGTAAGGACATGCTGCAAGGTGGAAGTCTCAGCACTCACCAAGACAGTTGAAGAAGAACTTCGTGCTGAGACCACTGAAGTTAAGTCCTTGTCTTTACAACTCAATCTCTCTTGAGAGACATCGAGTTGTGTGAATCTGCTGGACCCTGTTCATCATGTTCATCACGTCTTTCATAGCCATGTTCTGCCCAATGGAGGTCACAGGGGCCCCATCTCCGATTTGGTGCGAATCCCAGTGTCCTGGCCATCGCTATTAGGTTGGAGGCCATCGCTATTAGACACAAAAGAAAAACGAAAGGAAGGAAGGTCTAATATATAGTTAGCTATTAGGTTGGAGGCCACTGCACCAACTGGGACCGCCCAGCGGGGTGTTGCACTGCGCCAGTTGACGATCGATCACCATCTGTTCTCAGCGTCGCACGATCGAACGGCCAGCAGCTCAAGAGATGTTTCATTCACCAGAGTTGAGCTTGTGAGGATGGTTTTTGTCGCATTTTTCGGGCGCTTTTGGAGGATGCGGAGGCTGTCCACTTTTGGACGTGAGTCCTCACCTCGCAGCCTTCCTACATGCCAAGGTCAGAGTATGGAAGATCGATCACTTTGACACTTGACCGCCGCAAAGCTCCTTCGAGGCCTCACCGGAGTGGTCAGAGTGGTCTCATCGTGGTTGCCAAAGCTGCAAACCAACTGTGGCCCCTTCCATTGGGCATGGCGAATTGCCAAGGATACACGATATATGGTCACTAGTAGCTATTTGCTACTAGGTCAATGTTGCAAGATGCTACGGGTGCGCATTCCATCTGCTCGATTTCGGCATCCTGAGCAGAGTAGCCATGCTGGATTGGGCGGCCACGGGTAGCAAATGAACCCCAAGTGGCGAAGGAGCGCACAAATGGAGCTTCAAAAAAGAGTTGGCAGATCAAAGTTTCGGCCAAACTGACCTGCCATCTCAAAGTCGGACCACTGAAGTTCCCTTGTTGCCCCTTATATAATATCGCCCTCTGATACAACGCCCTCTTTCACACCACGTTTTCTTGCCATCGTTTCAGATGTTTTCGGAACCAACCGCAGCTGCGTCGGACAGATTCCGCGTCCACACACCGCCCTCGGGGTGTCGATCGCCATGGGCCACTTGTTGGTCCTCGTGTCAAGCCTGGTCAGCCTCGTGTCAAGCGAGGAGGGCGAGGATGTCTTGAATCTGGTTTTTATGGCTGCTCGGCTTTGCTGGACGGTAAAAGGCTTTGAGGATTAAAGAGCTTTGAAAGTCAAGTGAGTCAAGTATTGATTTCTGGATGGTCTTGGTGAACAAATCGGAAGACGAACGCCCCTCTACGAATTCGAGAACCGAATCCCAAGAGTTTGATACCATTTTTGCACAGAAAAAGGACCGCTCGAGACCTGAAGACCTCCCCAAACACCGGCGACCCGCGTTCGAGACCCGTGGGTCGAGCCGGCCGAAGCCCAGCTGAGACCGGAGGCAGATATCGGTCACAGCCGCGATCACGCGGATCAGCTCACCAGACCGTGGCCCATGGGAAAGTGTGCCTATGAAGGAGCCTTCAGCCTCTACGAAGGTGGGGTGTTATCGAACCGTGTGAAGGCGGTGCGGTTGGGGTTCACCGTGGTGTGGCGGTTTTGACGTTTTGACGGTGAAGCTACGGAAGCGGAAGGGGTTATGGGATGGTAGTTGGGATGGTATAGGACTTTCCGGAGAACCGGTTTTGGTGCGAACGAGAACCGGTTTCGACCACACCGTTGTGTACACGCTTGCGCGCAAGCGTGTACGTTGCAAGCGCAAGTGTGGGAACGGAACGAACCTGACCAAAAAGTGGTACCTAGATGTACCTAGTAGGTGGAATCTCTACCATATCTATACCATATCTCCTACCATGTCTCTTATTGGTTGTAGAAAAGCTCCACAGTTTTCCTCGCTCTAATCAAACTCCATTTTGTTGGCAAGTTGGATCCATGTGAGGCTTGGAGGACTTTGTACAAAATCGAGGAGCCAAGCCTACAGCGGCTCTCATTGTGCCTTGGAGGATGCCAAGGTATAGTTTTCCTCACTTTCTAGACTTGATCGAACGTGTTGGAGGCGAAAGACATCGAAAACCCCAAAGTTGAATGTTTCGTTGGCTATTTGATGTTATTTGAGCCCTCTAACTCGTGCATGGAACATGGACACGGGCATGGAAAATGGAAGGATTCAAGTTTGAGTATGCTTTCAGTTGCTTTCGCACTTGCCAGTGGGCTTTTCACTCGCCTGATGGCGGCGCTGCCAGGTCGGAGATGTGGCTTATGGCGGTGGCGATCCAGAGGTCTGCAATGCAACCAGAAATGCCTTCCAGAAATACTTGCACGGTCAAGTTCCTGTGGATGCTTTGATCGTCATAGTTGGGTATCAAAGCACAACAAAGCAACCCCGACAACCAAAGCGTGTATTAGAATAAAGAGGGAAAACCCTAAAGACTTTGGAGAACATGAGAAACAAGCAAAACCCATTGGTTCCCCATAAATACACAACCCCCAAAAGATGTGTTGCTTGTCAAGTTGTTGCATCAGAATTAGCCTAAGGACCGTGTGTTCCCTGTGATGGGAAACCATGCCGAGAGCTTGGACATGAATTCAACACGAAACGCTTCCAACAGTCAGCCGAGACCTTTTCATGCTCAGGATATCCATTATTTGGGCTGCAGCAGAGGTGAAATGATTCTCAGCTGAAGAAGCGAAGGGCCTTTTTCCCAAGCGAAGATGGATCAAGCTAGGAATCACTGATGGCCATGGTGAACTGATGGCCTTCATGTCACCCTAGATATTATTAAACTATGAACTTGGAACCTAGAGGATCGATGATGGACACTTCAAAAACGGCGTTCATCTCTGACATTGAAGCAGTGAATTCCCACCGATGGACGGAACCCCTGCCGTTCCGTCCGTTCCTCTTGGGTCCGGAACCGCTTTTCCTCATGCACTGCGCGGCGGAACTTCGCTGCCCGGACCCCCGTGGGCTGTCCACACTGGTGGCCGAGGTTGACACCCTGGCTGCCGTGCTACTATGGCACTGCGCATACCTCGGTCATGTCCAACTACCAGATGACCTTCTGGCTGGACATACCGGACATACCGCGGGGACCGCGGGTTGGGTGTCTTTTTTCCGGTGCATGCTTCGACACGCCCCGACGTGGTTGGATTGTCCATCTTAGACAGTGGACACTTGGCAGGCAGTGGCGGCAAAACTGGCTCTCTGCATTCCCAGGCTTGAGCAAGGCGGACATGTCCGTCGCCAATTTCGAAGACCATGGACTCCTTTCAGTTGCTGGAGACGTTTCATTTCAGCTTGGAACAGACATGGCTGGACGTTTCATTTCAGCGTTTGGTTTCCCGTCTTTTTCGACTCGTGTGCCTGCACGTCTTCCAGGCGACATTGCCTGCACCGAAGGACGTCGTTCCGTACTCCCGCAACGACGAAAACACCAGGGGCTTTGAGTAGGTTTGAGTATGTTACAGTATTTTTGAATGATAAAGCTTTTGCATGCAAAAGCGCTGGGCACCAGTGGTGCAGTGCCAGTGTCTTTCCTACAATGTGCTTCGTACTCCGAACTTAGTTTTAGCACCTGCCCGACGCTGTCAGTTTCTGACGCTGACTCACACACTTTTTGACCACCAGCCTCGCCAGAAATCGTCAGGAGGAGCAAGAAGAGTGTCTTAGACGCAGATGGCAATGGCTCAAAGAATGACCCTCCAAGCCCACTGGACACTGGACGTCACTGTAGTCACTGTAGTCCAAAGTCTGCAGCTTTCTGAGTCCGATCTTTCGTTCTTCGCGCCGGGTCGATGTCTTGAGACGACGTGATGCCGGGAACTGCTTCCGCCGCCTCGCTTCCCCGCCACGTTCCAGCGATGGTCGTTCCGCCGGCCGGTCCTCGTCGCTTCGGACGGTCCTGTCCTCGCTTCCCCGCGGCGATCGAAGCTTCGACCGAGGTGGATCGTTCTGTTTTCATCGTCGATCTCTCAGGTGGATCTCTCCGATGCGTTACAACCTCAACCTGGACAATCGCAGCAGTGCCACTGGTCGTTTTCGTGTCGTTTTGGGGCCACAGATATGGGGGGAGCGCGGAAAAGCAGATCAGCAGAGCTGTGAGCCATGCATGCTCCACATTTCACCGGTGGAAATACCAGGTCTAGACCCAAGTCAACTAACTAACCCTCCTTGGACCGATTCCTTTGTTGCCGAACTTCCGGCTGTCTGACATCCCATAGACATCTTTCCATTTTGGAGAACCGCAGCAACAAGATCATCATTTTGTGATATACAAAACTATTTTTTTCATCCACCAACCCTGCTCTTTTTCTCCTACACATCTATTGATTGGTACATCTTTACACTGGTACATCTTCCAGACGCTCGGTTTTTTCGGGACAGGTGCGCGTTCGCTCCGTTGCTCAGCTGTGTGGCCTGACCGAGGGGAGCTGTGAGTCAGCTGTGAGTCGGCAGCTGAGGTCTACATCATCGCTGGGCTCATTTCAGGTGTCTACAGGACCACTTGGAACAACGACACACCCACCGCCTCCTGGACCTGTCATTTTGTGAGACAGAAATGGGTATTCAGAATCTGCTCAAAATCATAGGCACCTTACTAGTAGTAACTGGTAGCAACGTGCATTGCTAGCGAGTATCAAGGACGCTACTAGCTAATAAGTGCCTTACTAGTAACAAGAATGTCACTAGTAACTAGTGACTAATTCGTCCCTGGTGGGCCTTTCAAGTTGCTCTTGTGAACGTAGAAGGAACCCGGCACGTAGCAAAGGAAGCCTCTTTTTTTCGCGTTTTCGCGGCACGTGACGTTCCTTTCCGCTTCGTGAACTCGCTCCTTCACTTCGATTCCCAGGTGGCGATGGATGCGATGGGCCCCAATGGCGATGAGCTCGAATGCCGCTTCCTTCGAGACTCCCTCGCAGAAGGCGCCGGAAAGACGCGACGCCACGAGAACTGGGGCCGTTCACGGCGGGGGCGTGGACATGGGTGGGCTGTGCCCTCTCCAGGTCGAAGGTTGAAGAAGAGCATCTTCGTTTACGTCACCCACGACTTCCAACATGCGTGCAAGGATTGGAGCCTCATCAGTGCCATCGATGCCGGGAATCCCCAGAGACCCGTTTTCCAGTCGTCGGAGTCGGGGTGGTGTTCTCTCGCTATTCTTTTTTCATCCCCACCATGTGGACGAGAACCTTTTCGATTGGCCAACTGATCCAATGCATATCTAAGATCCAACGCAGAGTGGGTCAAACCAGAGCTCAAGAAACCAAATGTTGGACAAGAACTGCAGGAGTTCAGAAGTCCGCATCACAAGGTGCAACTATTCTTCTCTTCGACCTGCTTTGCTCCCGTGTAGACTCCTTCGACTTCATGAGACCTGGAATTCTTTTACATACTTCCAATTTTTTCAAAAGTACCTGAACTTCATGAGTAACATGTATACTGTATTCAATAGTAACATCTTTCAGATGGAATTCTTTGATCGATCTTCCGAGGTTCTTCCGCATCTTCCCACGGATCCGTCGGATCGGATCGGCTTCGTGGGTTCGCCGGTCGTCGGTTCTTCAGGTTTGGATCACCGGCCACAAGCATCTTTATTGGCAGTCTGAAGCTTCTGGCTCAACGCAAGCCCAAGAGTCTCTCGGTCACTGGGGGGGTGGAGCCGAAGAGATCGCCGACCCCAGCTGGCTTCTCCATAGATCTCCCACCTTTTTCGGGAGAGATTCGGGAGGGAGTGGCGGCATTGAAAGAGATTTTAAGGCTTTTGGTTTGGGTGTGTCTCAGAGTTGGTATATATATACTATGCTGAAATGACAAAGGACTTGTGAAAACTACCTCCAAATTGCGGCGGCTAAGTCATGAACATTTAGCCTACCCCCCACAAGTATTTATGTCATGAAGCAAAAGCTTGGAAAAACCTCAAAATCAGAGATGCCAGAGGTTGTCACCAAAGATCCTAAAAACAGTTGATTTTATATTGACAAGCATCATGACATACGACTTTGGTATCTAAACAATGAATAAATAGGAATTTGAGAGCAAAAACGCACAAAGGCAGACTTAAATGAGATAGTAATGTTCCTATGACATGTGGACTTTCATTAGCTCTAATCTTCCAGGAGCATGGGCCAAAAAAAAAAAACTCAGGACCAGGTCAACAAGGCCCTATGTCATGAGTGTGTGCCAATGAACTTGCAAATTTAACATTTGTACATGACTTAGGACTTGCCCTGGGAAAGTTGTATGTCATTTCGACCCAATTGGCCTAAGTCATCTCACCGTAGTATATATATATACAGTAGATTTATAGCAGTATGTAGTACTGGCAACATTGCAATACGTGAGGATTCTGCTTAATTGAGGTGCAACGATTCTGCCAGTTCTCGTTCTCGTTCCGTGCTTCGAAGCCGAGGCTTCGTCACTTCCCCCTGCGAATTCTCATTGGCAACGGCGGCTTTGATGAGGGTCAGATGGACGTCGCGACTCGGCAGACGAGTCGCGTGGAGGGCAGCGTAGCCGAAGCCTAAGCGTCACCAAACACATGTCACAAGCGCGCAAGAACCGAAGGCAGAAGTTTAGGAGCTATTCTTGTCGAGCCGTAGTGCAAAGTTGCCATGAGCCTCAAACCCGAGCAGGGTACATGTGTTTGGCTAAATGTTTGTGTATTTATTCTTTTGGATTTGGTCATGCAATTGTTGTCCATGTAAGCGTAGTCCGGACAATTCCTTCCGAGTAAGCCAGGTCAGCTTCGGTCACTTGCGCGAGATCCCCTATGATGCTGGCCAGCTCAATCATTTTTTTGCTTTTTGGGGTGCCTTTCGAGTGCAGGGCCAGCGCATGAACAAAACAAACACCGGCCAAAAAACACCTTTCTGCAGCGTCCTCGGCGTGTTCTTCTGCAGGCGGCCAGCAACGGGTGAAGGTTCAGTTCAAGATTTATGACACCTGCATCTCAGACGACTTTATGTGCCCCATGATAGGCGTCCGTAGGGCCGGACTGGATGGGATGGGAAGACTTGTTTTGATGGGCGTCTCTCTTCTTTTCCATGACCAGATCACTTGATTTCGATCATTTGATCAATTGAGTGCGCGTAGGAAAGATCACGAGTGTAGAAGATGGGACGGCTTCCGCCAAACGAGCTCCCTGCGCCCCGCCCCCACCCGCGTTCGTGCGCGCGGAGGCAAAGGTGGCCCCTACTGCTGGGACAAGTGTCGATCGATCCCCGGGGGTGTTGATCGTGGCGGCGGGTCTCGCAAAGCCACCCCAGGTGCAATGGGGGGGTTTGACCGGGAGGAGAGGAGAGGTGTCAAGCATGGTGTGGGTGGGTTACGAAGGTAGTTCAGAAGAGCAGCTACTTGCTATTCAAATCGTTTTCCGTGATAATAATATATATATATATATGATATATATGCCCTTGTTACTAGTAGCGATGCCCTTGTTACTAGTAGCGATGCACTTGTTACTACTTATTTTGATCCAGGACGTCATGATTCCGGCTTCACCCTGGACGCACCTCGTGGCTCACCGTCGGAATGGGTCTTTTGGATCAATTAGTGTTCGCATGCCCTTTCTCGGGCTTGGTGAGATCCTTTACATAGCATTTGGATCAATTTGTGGAAACATCGCTGAACTTCTGGTTGTTGGGATTTCCAGGGCGACATGTGCATACCGAGCCCATCATATGGTGTTTCCTCCTTGCTGTGGCCAAGGCCTCGGAACTGTTTGGCCAGACGTGGCTTGTACGCCTTGTGAAGGAGGTGCCATGAGAGACGTGACACACAATTGTCGATACCCAACCGGACGTAGCGTCCTTGCTACTAGTAGTAATGGCCTCCAACCTAATAGCGATGGCCTCCAACCTAGTAGCGTCCTTGCTACTAGTTAAGTTTCCCATAAAAATCTAGGAACCAAATAACCAAATGATGAGTGCGTGAGCTATCCTGCGTCCATACGAGCTAGCTAGCTAGCTACCTCTAGCTACTACCTCTACCGGCCTCCACGTCTTTCAGGCTTTGAACGCGACGTGTCGACGCGATGCTGCGACGTGGCGACGTGTCGACGCGCACGTGCTGAAAGGATCGCTGGCTCGCACTGGGTGTTTGTCCCTATGATGGGGACTTCGACAACTGCTTGATACCGTCCAGCCACACGGCGCATGCGTCGATATGAGTGCAAACCACAGGACGTTGTTCGATGTGTGTGTTTTTTTTCTGTACTGAGACGTGCATTGTGAGACGGGTGCTTTTTTTGCTTGTGCGGATTGACATTCAGTTGAAAAAAGCCAAACGGATGTCTGCATGTGGGTGTGCGTGCGTTCATCTCATGACCTCTCCCTGAAAGAGTACACACACCTTTTTACTAAGAACCCAGTAGTTCGATGTAGTTCTATACAGTTATATAGTCCATAAAGCTTAGATCATTTTTGAAGTTCACCAGAATTCCTTTCTTGAAAGCACTTTCCTTAAACCGACTAAGCTGTGTGCTGCTGATTTCTAACCGTTCTCGACCCTTGGCCCGCACACTGCTGTGAAGCCGATTGTCGTCCAAGGCCAAGCTGATGCCATTGGGTTGCAGCTCTTTGGCCGTGGTAGCACGTTGCCGGCCAAAGGTGAGCCCATTCACGCTGCCCTGGCCTTGCAGGATGCGCAGATTATTTTTTGGGTCGTACACATAGCAGCACAGTCAGAGATGCAGCAAAAACCACAGTCAGAAGACGGAAGCCATACTTCTCAAAGATTCGTTGCATTCATTGGATTGTTTATGGCCCCAGCATGCCTCCTCAGGACGACTTCAGAGGCTTTGTGACTCATGACGCTGTGAATGTCACACAAAGGGTGGCGTTCTGAGTTGATTCCGAGAGAAGGCCACATGATTCATAGGATAGAAGATGATGTCTGCCTTCAAAAAAGGACTGTCCAGGCCTATCGAGTCCAACTGCTTCAGAAGCATGTTCAGCCTTTTCGCCCAACTTGCGCCAAGGGCGCTGGTTTCTGGGCGAAGGACTTCTGGGGCCGTGGAAAGATGAACTCAGCGGACGCTGACCTCTTTACCTTTGTCCAGGAGGCAGTCCGACATGAATTCTTTTCTCTTTGTTGGGCGCCATCCAGCGCCACGGATCCAGATCCGTGCGATCTGTCGATTCCACCCCATGATGCAGGTCGCTCAGTCCAATTCACTCACAACTCCTTACTTCGCTATGACAACAGTTTCAACGTGTCGACAAACGCAGGCTGGACGTTGGACCATGAAGGGCATGGCGGTGAGGAGTGGAGACTTGAAGGAGTCGACCAAAAGGGTCGCCAATTGATTCAGACAATCATGTCTTGGCGTTGAGTCTGGGTTCTTTTCTTTGTGAAAGGGTGGGCAGTGCTGAATTCGAAATTCAGACATCGTGTACGCTTCTGGCCTTTTTGACCCAGCTGCTTGCTTGAGGGTTGGACCCCTACCATTTTGTATCCACATCTCATATATTCCCAACAGCAGAATGCAGTTGGGTTTCAATCTCTGGGGCTGGGAGTGGTGCGCAGTTGGTCCATGGGGCTCCAAAACCGGAAGTCTGTCCTGGAACCCTGGATGCTGTCTGGGCTGGGAGTGGTGCGCAGTTTGTCTACAGCTGTCTGACCTTGGAGGGGTGGCGCACAGTTTGTTTACAAGGCTCAGGGCAGAGAAACAAATACATCGGAGATATCGTAAGACTTCATTTTGATGGCAGTGCTTGGTGTCCCGTCTTGGAACCTGGCTGCCTTGATCGCCTTGCACTTTAGATTGTGCAGCTTGTTCGGTTTTCAGGCTGACCTGACCTGCTTTGTCATTGAACACTGGCACAAGCCAAGTGGAGATAGAGCAGCGGAGCCAAGTAGACTATTTTATGTGCAAAGCGATGGAAACTATGAATGTGGGTGTATGCATTGTGGGTGAAAAGGAAAGAGAACCGGCTTTGTGCTGGGAACGACGTTTCTGTTCTGATGGGCTTTGCTCCTGCCTGCTCCGGACCCCAGTTCCTGCTCCCGTTCCTGCTCCCGGTTCCCTTTATATTTCACAAATCGATTGGGGCTGCGTTGGAGCTCTAGCAACGCATAGTTGGTGTTTTTGAAAAGTTCCAGTCAATTGAGTGGCTACCTGCTGTTGGGTTGCAAAGCTTTACAGTATACATTCCCAACAGTTAAATGCAGGTGGGTTTCAATCTCGGGCTGGGAGATGGTTCCAATGGAATGGTGCGCAGTTTGTCCACGGCGCTACCTTGGAACCTGGCTGACTTGACCTGCGCTGTCATTGGTTGGGCTTCAATGATCTCTGAAACTGCTGGCGTCCCAAATCCGGAATCCTCCCTAGCCCCGGCACTGTTGTATCACCCTATGCGCAGCAAGGCCGCAGGTAGTTGCGCGTACCGCACAGCAAACTTTCTCCACCGGCAACGGCTTTTGCACTTATAGTGTGTGCCTTTTGCGCCCGGTGCTGGGCTTCCCAACACGTTTAGATGCGCCGCAAGGCAACAGGCAGTTGCACGTCCTGGGCAGGACGTTTCTGCGACCGCTCGTAGTCCGCCGTTGGCTGCTACGAAACTGTGTGCCTCCTACCTCAATTGCAGAGCGTTCATCGGCTTGCGTGTACCTAGCAGGACGTTGCTGCGACGGCAACAGCTTTTGCACTTGTGGTGCGCCTCCTGCCCCGGTTGCGAAGCAGCTTGCTCCGCACCATAAAAATATCTCATGCGCAGCAAGGCCACAGGCATCGTGCGTACTTAGCAGGGTGTTTCCGCACCGGCAAGCAACCGATACACTTGAGCCACGCTTTAAACCTCAGTTGTCATGTCAAGTAAGGAGATCCTTGTAAGGACCTGTGGAAGCAAAACACTAGTGGGCGTAAGCCCGCGTAAGCAATTTTAGCCAATGTTGTTGGCGTAAGAGATTTTTCGTGATTTGTGAAATGGCAGTTTTGGACAAAGAACCTTTTATATTCCAAGCTTACAGTGGGATCACTGTCAGGTTGCTGGATATTTGTTTCCTCAAGTGGTGACAAGCTCCATGCTGCAGGTTGAATGTGATTCTGATGATTCTGCAAGATTGAATTGCATGGAAAACGAAATCATGATAAAGCCCGCAATGAAAAGGATTGTCCACCAAGACAAGGAGTTTTAACAACTGCACTGTACTATCGGATGGAAACAGCAACACTGTAATGTGCCCATAGTGTCATACCTTTTTCAAGACCTTCACCTCCAAACTTTGTTTCCGGGTTGGAAGCCAAACTCCGCATAAGGTCCGCGTAAGGTCTGCGTAAGCGGCGCGAAAGCCAAAGCTGCTTTTGCCAGTAGTTGCCCATGTCTCCCAAACACAAATCATTTTCGCAACTTGGTGCAGAGCGCCAGGGACTTGTCGCAAAGACCGTCTCGGACATTTTGGAACAACACTGCCCTTCTCTGGATGAAGCACACCTCTTGCTGAACAAGGCTTTCTCTAGATGTCAATCTGTCCTTCCTGGCCTGTCCGCTATCAGTGGTGCCCAGTCTGTCTGTCATGCCCATGCGCTCAGCACAGGTGCTGCCAAGAAGCGTCGTCAACTTCGTCATCTGCGGGCTTCTTCTGTTGCTGCGTCTTCATCGGCTTCATCTTCTTCGTCCACGTCATCATCTTCTACTGCTTGATGCTGCCTAGAAACGCTGCGGTTCCTGCAGGTAAAAGTTGCTGCGCGTAAGCTGGGGCTGTGGCCGGGTACTAAAAATGTCCAGCGTAAGGTCTGCGTAAGCCGGTTTATTCCGCGTAAGCAAAACTGCGCGCGCGTAAGCAAAACGTAAGACGCGGCGTAAGCGTTGCCTTGTTTGGTGCCGGGATATAAGACGTGCAAAACACAGCTCACTTGTGGTGTGCCTTGTGGCCCCATTGCAAAAGCACATGTTTTTTGCGCAGCCAGGCAACAGTCAGTTGCACGTAGCAAGATGTCGCCGTGCTGTTGCACTTGTGGTGTGCTTTCTATTCCTGTTCCAACTCACTTTTTCTTTGCGCCCAGCAACGTGCCTTTGTGCCGGGAACGACCTCCTGCACAGGACCCCACTTCCTGCTCCCGGTTTTGTTCCCCAGTTCCTGCTTGCATTTTGCAAAATGATTGGGGTTGTTGCTACCTGCTGTTGGGTTGTAAAGCCGGGCTAATACGTAAAACACATATATATATATATTGTATAGATACAAAAAGATAGACCGACCGAGACATACAAAGACCTCGGTGTCGGAGCAGCGCAATCCTGAATTCCTCGAACTTCTGGAGCAGCTCTCGATAGGAATGGGTGGAGTGCACAATGAACGTGAGCGAAGTGAATTCTTTTTCAGCCAGACCTTCTGTGATTGCATGTCGCATTGTCGTCTCAGTCATGGCACGCATTCCTGGTTCCACTGGTGGTCACATCCCATATGGGGTTGAAGATGCGTATCGCATGGATCATCGCCAGAACCATAGACCTGCAGGACTACCTGGCCTTTGATGAGGCTGGGAGCCTTGAAGTGGAGTTCCATGCGCCGAAGATGATTTATGTGTGAGAGACCACCTGGCATCAGAGGCTGGAGAGGTGGAGAAATAGAGATCTTAAGAGCATGATCTTTGATTTTCTTGGTTTCAAAGATCATTTAGATCATCTTTGAATCGAGCTCCTCCAAGAGGATGCGTCTTTGCAACGTGGTGAGTTGGTGTACAACGTGTTTGCTCAAGGGAGCAGGCATGAGGTACTTTCGCTTCGTCTGGCTCACGGAAGAAAACACGGACAGCAGGCCATGGTAGGACTGATGCCACGGGACCTCGTGCCCACAGATCCAGTGTATGGGAGCATTTTTTCAGCTTCAACTACCATGGTTTGCCAGTCTATTTTGGAAGTGCTCGGAGAAAATAGGACGAAATGGCAAGCCACAATGGTAAATCATTACTTGTTTCCAATGTGCATGCAGACCCCGCATCACCGACGTACCATCATACTGGATGCACGGTGATCCGGCCGGCTTGGCCCTGTGTCCGGCTTCGCCGCGTTCGTTCGGCCAAGAGAAAGACTTGGAAGACATTCATCCGGACATCTCACCCATCAGGCTTGGACATGCTTGGCTTCATTCCGCAGCTCAAGTTATTTCATCCGCGTTTTGATGTCAGCCCAATCAATGGTACATGTCGAGCATTACTCTAAGAAAAGCCTGCGCAAGGAGAAGAACAGAGAAGCAGAGCTTTCAACCTGTTGGCAAATGGATTTCGCTTACTGCCACCACTGCCACTACCAGTCCCTGCCAGGTTGCAACCCCGCGTCAACCTATCCCACCGTCCATCTACCGAACAACCTGTGCTCACCACCGATCCATCCCCCTTCCATCACCTGCGGAATGGGCCAAAGATGTCAAGCCCGGCCAGGCGGCCGAACGGAGCTCCGCCCGTTGGGAGCGAAACGGAGATCCGGCCGTTTTGGGGTAGCCAAGGTGCAGGAACGGATGAGCTGGTAGGCTGGATGACCTCTCCTGGTTGAGGTGAAATACACGTGGAAGGATGCTACACAATGAACGTCATTGTAGACTCTTGATTAATCAACGCCTCCCGTGTAGGAACCTCTTCAGAGTTGCGGGTTGGAAATATCATGAAGAGATGTCAAGAGCCTACATTACTTTTTGCTCTCGGCTGCATGATCTTTAGACCACTACTGACCCTGACATAGGGCCGATATGTTTCATCAAGACACATGCTTTCAATGGATTTTAGTTTAACCTGTGGTTTGAGCTGGTTTTAGAAGGTTTTTGATGGGTGGAATGCTTGGGGGCTGTTCCTTTTTCATTTCTCTTTTCAAATCACGGTTGGAGTGATTCCAAGTCTCATGTGCTGAGTCGCGAAGTTGCGCGTCTGAGTCGCGAAGAAGCGTCTCGACGCTGCGAGAGGCTTTTCAAGGAGTTGGACCTCTTCAGGAGACGGTTCGAGATTGAGCGAGATCGATTGATCGCCCGATGGTGGTGAACTCCCCACCCTCGACCCAGGTGATGACGTACCCCGTTCTTGTGAGCTACAGGTTCAAGACCCTCATTTAGTAGGGCTGTGGACCTCGGTATGGCAGTTTTAGGGTCCATGCTTATATACCTTTTTACGCATGTTCTCTTTGCCGCCTCCATTTTTTGGACCTCTACGGGTTCAGTTCGGTTCGGTTCTTCATTTGATGTGTTTGAGGTGCTTCTTTTCTGTATCTCTTACCTCTTCCTTTTTCTAGCTTGCTTTAGCTTGGTCAAAGGGATTGAATTGGTTGAAATTGTCCACACGACAAAAGTGGCCGGGGACGAAAAAAAAGACAAAACGATAAAAGCCACCAAATGGAGAACTACAACAAGTCAACCTGCCATGTTTATTCCCCACCCGTAGGACTGTGGGGTTGTTAGATTTTTAGAACTTTGGACTTCAGTACGCCCGGTAGCCCAACTTAGCTCTTCCACAGCACACTGGCCAAAGTGATCCCTGAGTAG